CACATGAGCCACATGGAAAGTGTCTGTGGGGTTTGGCGAGACATATTTATTCCTGCAGGCTGAGAAGCTAGGAGACATCCCAGCTCCTCCGATGAAAATGCAGACAGGTCGCTTGTGACCGCCACTCCTGATCGGTCACTAAAGCAGCCGTTCTCTTCCCCTTCTTGGCCAGCAAAAGCCACCACCTGTGAAGGATTCAAATGCCGAATGCTCAGCTAGCCCAACTTCCCCGACTTCGTCCGGGTCACTAGGACCCTTCAGGACAGTTTCTGAAGGAGTTTCTTGGAAGTATTTTTCTTGCTTAAAAACAAAAAAAAAAACAACAACAAAAGAATATTACTGGAGCAATGATATAACCTTTTGCCTAATCCAGGACCATATTTTTGTCACATTTTCTTGGGAGGACAGAACTCTCAGAGCTGGTGCAGTCCTCTTAATGATGAGGGAGGGGATGCCAACAGCAGCGGAGAGCAGAGAAGAAAGATGGAGGGAGCCAGGGCCCAGAATGTTGGCTTACATTGTTGAATGGATCCTTGAATCATCTACCTCAGGATTTCTTCTTACGTGAGAAAAATTGCTCTTTATCTTTTTCTTTCTTTTTTTTTAATATGGATCTTGTGATAAGACTGTTTAGTTGTGTAGGAAACTGCCAAACTATCTCCACAAGTGGCTGTACCATTTTATTTCCTCCAACAGTGAATGAGACTTGTGATTGCTCTGCACACTCACCGAAATGTGGTGTGGTCATTGTTCTAGATTGTTGCCATTCTAATAGTTGTATCTCATTGTCGTTTTAATTTGAATTTCTCTGTTTACATATGATGTGAAACTCCTTTTCAAGTGCTTATTTACCATCTGTATATATTATTGGATGAAGTGGCTGTTAAGATCTTTGGCCCATTTTATGAATCAGGTTGTTTGTTTTTTGTCGTTGTTCTAAGACTTCTTTGTATATTTTGGGTAACAGTCACTTACCAGATGTGTCTTTTGCAAATATTTTCTCATAGTTTTTGTCTCATCTGTTAGTTCTCTTGATATGTGTTTTCACAGGTCAGAACTATTTAATTTCCATGAACTCAAGCTTACCATATATTTATGGTATGGATTGTGCCTTTGGTGTTCTATCGAAAAACGCATCATTTTACCAATGTCATCGGATTTCCTCCTAGGCTATCTTCTAGGAGTTTTATAGATTGTGTTTACATTTAGGTTTATAGTCTATTTGAGTTCATTTTTGTGAAGCGTGTAAGGTCTGTGTCTAGATTCATTTTTTTTTTCTTGCATCTGGATATCCAGTTTTTCCAGCATCATTTGTTGAAGAGATCATCTTTGCTCTATTGTATTGCCTTTGCTTCTTTGTCAAAGATCAGTTGACTATATTAATGGGGGTCTGTTTCTGGGTCTTCAATTCTGTTCCATTGATTTATTTGTTTATTATTTCTCAGATACTGTATTGTCTTGATTACTCTAGTTTTATAGTAATTCTTTTTTTTGTGTGTGGTCATAGCTGTTTTATTATTTATTTATGTTTTGCTCAATCCCTCCACATACTCCAAGGAACCCCCTAAACTCCATTCCACAACTGTCATCCTGTTCTCTTCTATGAGTTTGTCTCTGTTTGGCTTGTTTGTTCATTGGATTCCACATATGAGTAAAATCATATGGTGCTTGTCTTTCTGTGACTGGCTTACTTCACTATGCTCTCTAGGTCCATCCATGCTGTCCAAAAGGGTAAGATTTCCTTCCTTTTATGGCCAAGTGGTATTCCATTGTGTAAATGTACCACAGATTTTTTTTAGGCACTCATCTACTGATGCACACTTGGGCTGCTTCCAAATCTTGACTATTGTACATGATGCTGCAATGAACATGGGGTGCAAATATTCTTTCTTCAAATTAGTGTTTCAGCTTTCTTCTGATAAATTCCCAGAAGTGGAATTGCTGGGTCATAAGGCAGTTCCATTTTTAATTGTAGAAAACAGTATGGAGTTAGTCCTCCAACTTGTATTTCTCCTTTGAGATTGTATTGGCTATTCTGAGTTTTTTGCTACTCTGTATAAACCTGAGAATAAGTTTGTTAATATCTATAAAATAGCTTGTGGGAATTTTGTTTGGGGTTACATTGTATCTTTAGGTCAAGTTAGAGAAAACTGACATCTTGACAATATTGAATCTTCCTATTCATGAATATTGGCTACCTCTCCATTTACTTAGTTCTCCTTTGATTTCATTCATCAACATTTTGTAGTTTTCTTTAAATAGATATTGTACATATTGTGTTAGATACATACCTAAGTATTTCATTTTTGAGTTGCTAATACATGTTATTGTGTTTTTAATTTAAAATTCCACCTTTTCATTATAGTTATACTAGAGGCCCAGTGCACAAAAATTTGTGCACTCGGAAGGGTCCCTAAGCCCAGCTTGTGCCCTCTCCCAGTCTGGGACCCCTCAGGGGATGACGACCTGCTGGCTTAGGCCTGCTCCCCAGGGGATTGGGCCTAAACTGACAGTCGGACATCCCTCTGGCAGGCCAGGACCCCTCAGGGGATGTCTACTTGCCAGCAGGGAGCAGGCCTATGCTGCAGTCGTACATCCTTAGAGCTGCTGAGGACGCGGGAGCCACACCCTCTGTACTGGCAGCCATCAGCCTGGCTTGTGGCTGAGCAGAGCTCCCCCTGTGGGAGCACACTGACCACCAGGGGGCAGCTCCTGCATTGAGCGTCTGCCCCCTGATGGTCTGTGTGTGTCATAGTGACCAGTGATTCTCAGTCGCTCTGCTGTTAGGGTCAATTTGCATATTACCCTTTTATTATGTAGGATAGAGGCCTGGTGCATGAGTGGGGGCCGGCTGGTTTGCCCTGAAGGGTGTCACAGATCAGGGTGGGTGTCACACTGGGGTGCCTGGACAGCATGGGTGAGGGGCTAGGGGTCATTTTCAGGCTGACCACACCCTCCGGCAACCCAAACTCCCAGACTCTCCTTTTTTATCTCGGATTTATTTATCTTCTATAGTGGAAACTTTATAGCTTTGAGGGGATCTGAGGGCTGGCCAGGGCAGAGCAGGGACCCTCACCCCATGAGGGTGTGGCCATCCTAGGTGAGGGGCTGATGGCTGTTTGCAGGCTGGCCACAGCCCCCAGCCACCCAAGCTCCCAATGGAGGCTGGCTGGAAGCAGGTATCTGGGATTTATTTGTCTTCTATAATTGAAACTTTGTTGCCTTTTGCGGAGGCATAGCCGACCAGGGCAGGCAGGAAGCTTGGCCTCTTCCAGTGCCGGGGCAACCAAGCCTCCTGCTTGCTCTAGCTCCATGGCTGCCGGCCGCCATCTTGGTTGGGTTAATTTGCATATAGTCACTCTGATTGGCTGGTGGGCGTGGCTTGGGCGTGGTGAAGGTACGGTCAATTAGCATCTTTGTCTTTTATTAGTGTATATAGGAAAGCAATTGGCTTCTGGATACTAACTTTATATCCTACAACTTTGTTATGATTGCTTTTTTGTTACAGGATTTCTGCATTTTGTTTTGTATAGATTTTTGGTTGATTTCTCTTTGGATTTTCTGCATAGATGATCATGCCATCTGAGGACAGGACCATTTTCTGTTTTTTCCCCAACCTATATTACTTGTACTTGAATTTTTTCTTTTTCTCTTTCTTCCTTTCTTCCTTCCTTTCTTTCTTTTTCTTTCTTTCTTTCTTTCTTTCTTTCTTTCTTTCTTTCTCTCTTTCTTTCTTTCTTTTTTATTCTTTTCTTTTTTTTGCCTTACTGTATTATCAAGGATTTTTACTTTAATGCTGAAAAGAAGTGTTGAGAGGAAACATCCTAAGGGAAAGCTTTGAGTTTCTCACCTTTAAGTATAATGTTAGCTGTAGGGTTTTCTTGTAAATATATACTTTTTAAAAAACAAATGTAGACTAAATGTAGACTTTTTAAAAAACAAATCAAATGTAGTCAGATTCCATAGAATGAAAATTCAGATAGCCTCAAGAAAGATGTTCACCTTTACTCTATATGCCTGCATTTATTAGCAAGGTCATATTTTGTTAAAATTTTACTAAAAGTTAAGCCATTTCATAACCCTTTTTTATAGTAATTATAAATTATATAAAATATTTAAGTAAAAATTGTCTTTGAAAGAAAAATAGAAGCTAGGGAATGCTCTTGCAGTTGTAAAGTCAGTACAGGTGGTGTTTCATTGATTGATAAAAAAAATTGAAAAAGAGAGAGAGATAGGGAGAGATTTAATATTTTAAACAAATACCCTGTCATGTTGAAATTTGAAATCCATAAATATTTATAACTTAATTTAAATTTTGATTGAAAAAGCAGAATGCGAAAGTGTCTTAAAACATTTTTCAGGCCTAGAAATTATGACACCACTAATATCATTTGGGGATTCCACTGAATTAGCACATCCTACACTGTATAGATTCCTTCCTCAATATAAATCATGGCATTTATGTATTCTTTGTCCACCGGAGAAGTGATTGGGTGTGTAATGTATGCTCAGAGTAACAGACTGTTCATCCAACTATGTCACCAGCAACTTTTCTCCTTGAGTCATCACATTCAGAAACTTCCAGTTCATTATTACCCATTCTGAATTATATTCACTATTGTCACATCATCTTTAATGTTTTTTTTTTAATATCACAGAATTATAGGTAATAGGTTGTTGAATGTGGAAGAGGCAACATTCAGTTAACAAATGATGACAGCCTACTGTCTATCAGGCACTGACTACGTGCTGATAACTAAAAAACAAATATTCTTGCCCTCCTGGAGATTATGTTTGAGCAGAGGGAAACAGATAACCTACACTAATAAAAAAGAAACATGCAAATTGGTGTCACTCCACTACGCCCACCAGCCAATCAGAGTGACTATGCAAATTAACCCAACAAAGATGTTGGTTAATTTGCATATGCAGGTGCGAAGTGAAGACTGAAGGCTGAAGACTGAAGAGGCTTGGCTTCTCAGCTGTGGCCAGACCAAAGGCCTGGGTCTTGGGTGCCGGAGGAAAACCGGTGCCAGCAGCCAGGGGTAGGAAGGCCTATTGCGCGAACCTTCATACAACGGGCTTCTAGTAGTCAATAAGCACAATAAATAAGCAACTAATAAAGAATGTTAGCAGATGGTAAGTGGTATAAATTATATCTCTTCATTAATATTCTCATTTTTTATTTGTTATTTTACAATTTTCTTTAGTTCTTTGTCCATGGTTTCTGTTATCTCTTTGAACATATTTAAGACAGTTGATTTAAAGTCTTTTATTAGTAAGTCCAATGTCTGGGATTCCTAAGTGATGGGCTTGTCATTTTAATGTGTTATAATTTCTTATTTCTTTGTAAGCTTTGTGATTTTTTGTTAAAAAATTGGAAATGTACATATTATAATGTGGTAACTCTGGAAATTAGATTCTCCTCCCTTGCCAGAGTTTGATGTTCTTGATTATTGAAGACTATAAGGCTGGTTGTTGGTTTGTTTTTTCAATTTTCCAAATTTGAAAAAACTTCCTTGTTATGTGTAGTCACTGGAGTGCCTGCTCTGTTGACTTGCATTCAGCTAGTGTTTCATAGAGATTTCCTTGAACACCAGGAGTTAAAACAAAAAATATCTATCATGCCCTGACTGGTGTGGCTCAGTGGATAGAGCATCGGCCTGCAGACTAAAGGGTCCCAGGTTTGATTCCGGTCAAGGGCATATACCTTGGTTGCGGGCACATCCCCAGTGGGGAGTGTGCAGGAGGCAGCAAAATCTATGTTTCTCTCTCTTCAATGTTTCTAGCTCTCTATCCCTCTCTCTTCCTCTCTGTAAAAAGTCAATAAATATATATTAAAAATATATGTATCTATCGTGATAAATTAGTTTATTAGTGCTGCCATAAACTGGGTGGTGTAAACAATAGAAATTTATTCATTCACAGTTCTGGATACTAGTGTCCAAGGTCAAGGTGTTGCCAGGATTATTCCTTCTGAGGGTTAGGAGAAAAAAATCTGTCCCATGCTTCTTGTATACCTTCTGATGAGTTTCTGAAAATCTTTCCTCTTCCTTGACTTGTCTTTATTATCTCATGATGTTCTCCCTATGTGTTCTTCCTGTCTGTTTCTCTGTCCCAATTTCCCCTTTTTATAAGGACACCAGTCATATTAGATTAGGGTCCATTCTAAAGACCTCACTTTAGCTAATTATATCTGTAACTAGAGGCCAGGTGTATGAATCCGTGCAAGGGTGGGGCCTGGCCAGCCTGCCCTGATCAGGACCAATCAGTCTGGGGGAAGGGGACACAGGAGGTTGGCCAGCTGGCCCTGTCCCGATCGATCAGGGTGAGGGGGGCCGATCTGGAGTGGGATCAGCCAGGGCGAGGGGCTGTGGGCTGTTGGCTGGCTGGCCCTGCCCCCTGGTTGAACTCCTGGTCAAACTCCCGGTCCAGGGGACAATTTCCATATTAGCCTTTTATTAGATAGGATGGCTCTATTTCCAAATAAGGTTACATTTGAGGTACTGGGGTTTAGTACCTCAACATATAAATTTTGATGGGGATTCATTTCAACACCTACCTCTCAATCTTTGTGGTTTGGCTCTGTTCTGGGATACTCCTTCAATCTTAAAAAGGCTGTTTACAATTCTGCCTTAGCCTTCACTTCCTGTTTGGGCTGAGCCTAGACATTAGCCAGAGATGAGAGCTTTAAGTCTTCGTGAGTCTTTTCTGAGCATCTATCTGCCCTGGTTCTACTTGTGGCTTTCTACATTCCCCAGTTCACCCAGGTACTTTCGAATGGCCTAATTTCCAGAATAAACTATCTTTTCAGATTCTCCTCCCAGGCTTTAGACTGTCTGTTGTATTTTGCAATGATAATACCTTGTTCAAAGTGGCTGCATTTTTCATTACCTTATAATATTTATGAACAATTCTTACTTTTTTTTCTATCCTGAATGAGTTATAATTTAGGCAAAAACAAACAGGGACAGCTGTTTTTGTTTTAATCCTTCAGTAACCCCAAAAAGGTTCGAATAGAGAAACATGATACTTTCCTAATAATGTCTGCTTGGCTGGGTCCCCAGAATCAAGAACTCATCTCACCCTAGGAATGAGACTGACATCTTCAGCTTCATGATTGCCGTTGAGAAAATGACCTGTCCATAAATGACTTTTCTCTTCTTTCCAGCACATTAGCTATTTATTGACTTATCACAGGGAAAAGGAAACGTCTTATATCTGTTTTCACCGTTAGAGAATGTTGACTTGGTCCCATGCCTGGGAGAAGGCAGTTAAATCAAGACCAAGATTAAGGTTTCCCTTGTTTGCTAGCACTGGGTCATCCCATGAGCACACAAGCTCACCTGTGGGCCATGAAGAGCTGCACCTAGAAGAGTTAAAAAGTGCCATTCTAGATTGGGTATAAACAATAAGACAGAGTACTTGAAACCATTAAATGCAGGGCTGACTATGAAAGCAAAGCAGTAGTGAGAATTTAAAGGGCCATTAAGTTAGCCAAATGGATGGCTGGAAGAAAGATCACTTATAAAAATTGGGAGGTTGAAAGGGCCTCTTTAATGTGCTTTAACAAAAATTAGATGCTTGATAATCTTTCCATATTTAGATAAGAGGGAGAAAAAGCCCTCAAAATCAAAGATGGGTTTTTCAGGCTCAGTATGTTCATGACATTAGATGTGTGCTATTAGTTTAATTGGGATTTTAAAGTTAAAATGACCTTCTTCTCACTTTAAATATAAACATTTTTTTCCTTAGTCAATTGCAAATGAGGATGTTTTGCAGATGGTTCCCTAACAACTAAGTCTACTGTGCTATTTGTAATTTGACTTAGAAAATTACTTCCCTAACCTCGTGATGCTCTATCCTCCTTAATATTGCTAAGAAGGCCCACTGCCTTTTCTAACAATTCACAATTCGGGCAAAAATAGTAGTTAGTCTTTTTGGATTTTAGCAAGTTTTGCCACAAGTTATAGGGCCTTTCCTACCTGTTTTGAGATTTTTGAAATCCCTTATTTAACTTATCTTCAACCAACTTTAGTTGAGTACAGCCCAAAAATTCTGATAGGTTCTAGGGACAAGATATAAGATGTCATCCCTGTATTAAAGGAATGCATGGTGTAGTTAGGGAATCAGATGCAAAATATCAGAGCTTCATAGTATCCGAGGATGAACAGTGATAATAGAGATAAGTTCAAGAGCTTACAAAACACTAAGAGGCAGAGGGCATTAACTGATAAAAACAGGTGACATGAGGGTTAATCCCTTAAAGCACAAATAGCAAGTGACTACTAAACAAGGTGTGAGGGGCTCCATTTAGTGAGACAGCATTTACAAAGGGTAAACAGTATGCCAGCATGTTGGAACATAGAGAGTATGAAGGCGTTTGAATGAGTGGTGGAGAGATTGGCAATAACCAAATCAAAAACAGCCCCCTGGGCCCGGCTGGCAGGGCTCAGTGGTTGAGTGTTGACCTATGAACCAGGAGGTCCTAGTTTGATTCCAGTCAGGGCACATGCCCAGGTTGCAGGCTCCATTCCCAGTGTGAGGTATGCAAGAGGTAGTCAATCAATGATTCTCTCTCATCATTGATATTTCTACCTCTCTCTCTCTCTCTCCCTTCCCCTCTGAAATCAATAAAAATATATTTTTTAAAAACCCACAGCCCCCTGGGCTGCTTTCTTGAGAATTTATAGCAGTGGTTCTCAACCTTCCTAATACCGTGGCCCTTTAATACAGTTCCTCATGTTGTGGTGACCCCCAATTTCATTGTTACAAATTGAACATAATTAAAGCATAGTGATTAATCACAAAAACAATATGTAAATTATATATGTGTTTTCCCATGGTCTTAGGTGACCCCTGTGAAAGGATCGTTCCATCCCCAAAGGGGTCACAACCCACAGGTTGAGAACTGCTGATCTATAGCAAAAGGGACCAATCTTTGTATTTGGAAAATCAGTTCAGGATTTGATATCAATCAATGTAAAGCTGAGACTGATCTTTCTTAGATATTTTATGGACACCAGAATTTCTCCTGAGAGCCAGAATTTTCTTAGATATCTAATGGACACCAGAATTTAGCCTATGGTGGAGCAATGGAGTCTAGGACTGACTTTCTATTTTAAAGTATTTAGGTTCAGCCTGCCTGAAGCTTACTAGTACATTTTACACAAGTGCCAAGATTCCTTAACATGTCATGCCTAAATAAATCACTGACCTACAGTACACCATTCTTGTTTTATCACTGTTCTTCTGGTGCATTTCCTGATTTAAAATAAATCAATTTCCTGATTTCTTTTTATATACTATTGTCCTGTTTTTTTAAAATGTAGATCTTAATGCACCACCCAGTGACTGAGTAACCACCACACAAATCAAGACAATATTTTCATCATACGAGATAAATTCTTAGTTCCATTCTTGGTCATTAATCCTCCCAACCTCAAAGAGATTAATGTTGTCTTCCTTTTCACTGCATATAAACAGATGATTATTTATCTCATAGTAGATCAATTTTGCTTATGTTATAACTTTATAGAATTATATTAGAGGCCCGTTGCACGAAGGGATTCATGCAATAGGCCTTCCCTTCCCCTCGCTGCCGGCACCGGTTTTCCTCCAGCACCCAGGACCCAGGCCTTCACTCAGGTCGGAGCCTTCAATCTTCACTCCGCTGCTTCACCCCTACGTATGCAAAATAAACGCCATCTTTGTTGGGTTAATTTGCATACTCTCCTGATTGGCTGATGAGCGTAGCAGAAGGGATGGTTAATTTACATGTTTGTCTATTATCAGGTAAGATATGTATACACGGAATCATACTGTGTGTGTGTGTGTGTGTGTGTATCTGATTTCTTGACTCATGTTTTGAGATTTTATCATTCCTGTTGCGTATAACAGTAATTTTTTTCTTTTTATTGCTATGAGCTATTTCATTGTACAAATACAACACCATGTGTTCATCCATTGATACAACATAAACGTTTATTTTTATGGCACTGTGCCAGTGTAATTTCTGATATACTTCCGATTTCATGCTCAAAGAGTGTATTAAGACACAAATATCCCTGTTACCTTTTATTACTTTTTGA